CACAGACCGGGCTGCGGGGGTGTTGACCCCCGGAACTCTCTCCAAGTAAACTCCAGGTATATAGAGGACCTTTATAAGAGAACTGTATTTAGAGGAACTTTGTAAGAGAACTGTCTAGAATAGCAGTGTGTGCTGACTGATTAGTTATTTATCTAGTCAGGTCATTTGTTGGATCCAATCCAAGAATCTGCCATCCCATCCCTGGGTAACATGGGGTTTCTCACCTCTGTCTAAACAAGGGTAGTTTGTGTTCCATGTGTAGACGTATTTCCAGTCTGAATGCTTTACAACATTATTTCTTTTTTTGAAGTATACAAAATGTAGTTTACATTTAATAAAATATTGTTAAGCACAAAAGAAAGCTACTAAGTATTCTTGTGAATTTTCGGGGGGGCGCCCTGTTATATGTGGCATTTTGCCAAGAAGAGGTGTTGGTAATGAATGGTTGTCCAGAGCAATTGGTATTAATTGTTGGCTGGATAAACACTGTAAGGATAATGCAGTACCATTCATTGACAACTGGGACAACTTCTATGGCCGAAATGACATGTATGCCAGGGATGGGGTTCACTTATCCAGGGCAGGTGTGGGTTTTCTTGCTAACTCAGTTGAGGGGGTTGTTAGGACTTTAAACTAGGATTAGTTAGAGGTATGGGTTTAGAAATGATAAATAATGAGTATGGATATATTGACTTATGCTCTGATATTAAGAATCTTAATAGTAACTGTCATGGAGTAACTCTGGGTAATGATAATTTCAGAAATTTTGTAAAAACAAAGATGAATAGGAAAAATGTGCAGAAGAAAAAACGTATGATGGTATTTTATGCTAACAGTCGAAGTGCAAGAAATAAAATTAATGAACTACGTTTGGTAGCATGTGCTGGGAACTTTGATATCATTGCATTACCTGAAACGTGGTATGATTTAAAGAGTCGGGATATGACTGCTGAGTGTAATATTCAGGGATTTAAGTTGTTCAATGTGGATAGATGTAATGGGAAGGGGGGAGGAGTTGCATTATATGTTCGAGAAAATATTAATTGTTGCATAAAAACAGGTATAAAAATAGATGGAGCAGTAACAGAGTCTGTTTGGGTAGAGTTCGTGGAGGGTCAAGAAAAACTAATTCTAGGTGTAATATACCGACCTCCAGGCTTGGATCACGATAGAGGGAGACTTCTTTGGGACGAAATTGTTAGGGCTTCTAGACACAATAACATAGTCATAGTAGGGGACTTTAACTTTAGTCAAATTGACTGGAATTCTTTGACAGGTAATCTGGAGTCCAGTGACTTTATGGAAACAGTTCAGGACTGTTTTCTGAAGCAGAGCATAACAGAGCCTACCAGGGGTAATAATTTGCTAGACCTAGTCTTGTCAAATAAGGATACACTCGTGAATAATCTGGAGATCACTGAAGAGCTTGGCGCAAGTGATCACAAATCCATCACTTTTAGCATTAACTGGGAATGCAAGAATAATGATAATACAGTAAAAATCCCTGATTTTCCTTCTGCCAATTATAATGGACTTAGGGAACACCTGTCTAATCTTGATTGGGGTTATCTAGCTAATGATTTTATTGATGATGATCATACTTATGATTATGAAGGGATCTGCTTTTATGATTGTTTTCTCAATAATGTACACCGTGCCCAGAGTATATACATTCCCCAGAGATATATTAGGTCTAATAATAATGATCCCAAATGGGTTAACAGGAGGCTAAAGCATCTATTAACAATTTGAGCACACATACAGAGGTACAAAAAAATACAGGTAAGAGCAGCATGCCAAAGCCACTTATACTATGCATAGCATTACGGGCTGGCTTGAAATTAACTTAAGATTAACTAAGCAATGATGAAATCAGTGATAAAACATTAATGTAAACAGATTACTGTAAAGCACAAGTGAGTATTACAAAGACAGGTCATATGGTTGTATGCATTGTTGTACATTCAGTAGAATGGAGTATTCTGTTAGGTAGTGTATTTAAAAAATAATAAAGTTGGGGAGAAAAGGGGAATGACCAATATGTTCAGCTTAAAAGAGAAGTAAAAAAGGGGATTAGAAAGGCTAAACGTGACTATGAAATTAGAGTTGCTAATGAATCAAAGACTAATCCAAAGGGGTTCTTTCAAGTGTATAGGACGAAGGTGAAGGAAAAAGTAGGACCTCTGAAAATTGGGAATGGACAGCTGACGGATAATGAACTGGAAATGTGTTCCTTATTTAATGACTATTTTTTGTCAGTTTTTACACAGGAAGATGTAAATGAGATTCCAGTAATTAACAATTATTTAGTTCCTGATGAATTTAAGTTAACTAATATTACTGTCACGAGGGACATGGTTATTAAACAGATAGACAAACTGAAGCAAAATAAGTCCCCGGGACCCGATGAGCTGTTTTCCAGGGTACTTAAGGAATGCAAGATGGAGCTTAGTCAGCCATTAACGAGTGTATTCAATGCGTCCATCCTTACCTGTGTTGTGCCAGAGTTGTGGAAGATGGCTAATGTGGTTCCTATATTCAAATCAGGGGATAAGTCCACTCCTTCAAATTACCGTCCAATAAGCCTGACATCTATAGTGGGCAAGTTATTAGAATCAATTATAGCTGACATTATCAGAAGTCACCTTGAAGAGCATAACTTGATAAATGAATCTCAGCATGGATTCACGAGAGGTCGTTCCTGCCTGACAAACTTACTGACGTTCTTCAATAGAACATTTGAGGCAGTTGACAGTGATAAGGAATATGATATTGTTTATTTGGATTTTAGTAAAGCCTTCGACAGAGTACCTCACAAGAGACTCTTAAGAAAAGTGGCAGCTCATGGTATAGGAGGTAAAGTTCTAGCATGGATTGAGGCATGGCTTACCAATAGAAAGCAGAGAGTTACCATTAATGGAGTGAAATCTGAATGGGGATTAGTCACTAGTGGCATTCCACAAGGATCAGTTTTGGGCCCTCTCTTGTTCGTAATTTACATTAATGACCCTGATGAAGGGATTACTAGTGACATGAGTAAGTTTGCAGATGATACAAAGATAGGCCGTATAATTCACTCTGAGGAGGATATCAATGAACTCCAGGACGATTTGGACAAATTAATGTCTTGATCTGAAAAATGGCAGATGAAGTTCAATGTGGATAAGTGTAAGGTACTTGCCCTTGGTAATGAAATTAACCCTAGAAGCTATAATCTAGGTGAAGTAGAGCTTGATCATACAGAATGTGAAAAAGACTTGGGAGTCATGGTAAACAGAAATCTAAAGCCAAGACAGCAGTGCCTTAGTGTGTGCAACAAGCCCAACAGATTACTTGGATTTATCTCAAGAAGTATAAGTAGCAGAAGTCCAAAAGTTATTTTACAGCTCTATACATCACTAGTGAGGCCTCATTTAGATTATGCTGCTCAGTTTTGGTCCCCTTACTACAGGATGGACATAGACTCATTAGAGAACATACAGAGAAGAATGACTAAAATGATTTACTGTGTAAGGAACCTCCTGTATGAAGATAGACTTAAAGCCTTAAATCTCCACTCTCTGGAGAGGCATAGAATGAGGGGAGATATCATTGAAGTGTATAAGTGGATGACAGGCATAAACAAGGGAGATATTAATAAAGTACTGAGGGTGTCGAACCAGGTAAGAACCAGAAATAATGGATATAAGTTGGATAAATTTAGATTTAGAAAGGACATAGGTAAGTACTGGTTTTCTAACAGAGTTGCAGATGCGTGGAACAGTCTTCCCAGTGGGGTGATAGAGGCTAGGACCTTGGGTAGCTTTAAGAAGAGACTGGACAAATATATGAGTGGGAGGGGCTGGGTTTAATTGGTGTCATGGGGTACGGGAGTTATTTCTTGGGTAGCTTTAGGTAGAGGTCGTTTTGATAAGGACCTGCCTCATATGGGCCAATAGGCCTTCTGCAGTGTTCCTACATTCTTATGTTCTTATGTAATACTAATGCTTTCACATTACTTAAGACAAAATGTGAAGGTTTCAGTGTGTGGACATTCCATGTGGGCAGTAACTCATTAACTCACAGATATGAATGCTTTTGGTAGTATTGGTAACAAGCACTTACCCGCTTGTTGCGTGGAGTGTGTTACGTCGGGTAGTGTTTCAGGAATCCCATGAAATACTGTGTTAGAGTTGCAGTTTAACACCCAGATTAGTGAGACAAGAGATGATGTCTTGTCGGTATAGTGTGTGAGTGACTGGTCAGGGAAAGTCCCTCCCTATCCACACTTTGGGATGTGACTTGTGAAGGGCAGTGGCCGTCACTGTACAAGCTTAGTGCTGTGACTTACGAGGGAAGGTTGCCCTCACTCTACTAAGCTGGTGATGTGACAAGGCCCAAAATTATGAGGTAGGTCCATCACCTCACCATTAATGGATCTTTGAATGACTGAAGAGGCAGGCAGTAGGCTACCTGCCCTCCAGGCCAGTGTCCAGGACAGCGTCTGAGGCCGGTGTCCGGGCCAGTGTCTGGGCCAGTTGTGTAATTGGGCAGGCCTATATGAAATTATTGTTTGTACTAGGTTACTTTACTTTTCAACTCTAAGTTGTGAACTCATACAAGAAACTGAATACATATTAGCCTATTGAAACTTCTTCACTAATTTAGTCTAATAATTTAGAATTGGTAGTTGAAGTGTGACAACATTGGATGTAGGCTCACACATCATGTTGTCTCCCTTAACTTTCTCACTTTTAACATCTTTCCACCCTCTTCCCCAAGACCTAATAACAGGAAATCCACTAATTTCCCACACTGACTGTGTGTGGAGGAGCTATGTGAGAGAGCCGACTGTAGCACTTTCCCTTTCGTACAACAGACAAATGGCCAATAGATAAAATTCATACTCTGTTTATGCATTTTGCAATTCACCTTGTTCTCTAATCACCTTTATTTTCAGGGCAATTTTGTCAACTGTGTGAGGCTAAGGTACTAACATAACTTTCTCTCTCATCTTACAGGGCCTGTCACGCCTGTATTTAGAAGACAATCTTCAAGCTACCCTGCAGGCAGGCTTTAGCATAGCTTCTCACCATCACATGTCACTTGTTATATGGACACTAAGGCAAAAATGTCTACGGTAAATCCTCTGAGTGAAGCAATCACTGCCCAGCCCAACAGAATCAATGTTGATACTGTCAGTTGAGGCGGGTGAGAGTGTCTACCCAGGGTACTGACATAGTGTGTTTGTGTGTGTGTCCGAGTAAGACTTGCAATGACTGTACTCAACTGTATGTGGTTGCAGGGGTCGAGTCACAGCACCTGTGTCATGCTGTGGGTGGTGTGCTAGCCCACTGCTCTCTCTCCCCACACAGCCAAACCTGAAAGTGAACCAGATTTGATTCAAATAACATACAGTACATGGGATACAGTATATCCATCCTTTTGTGGATTACAGCCAAACTGGAGATATGTATAGAACTTGAATTTATATCGCCAAATTTAAAAAAAGCCTATATTTTAATTCAGTAAATGACTCTTCAGTAAGTGTTTTTCACTTGTGCCCAGGTGACACAGCAGCAGAAAGGTGGTGAGGTGGATACTGACCGTTATGCTCAAAACAACGTGTTAAAGAAGACTTTCGCTAAGAATTTATACAAAGTCCTCGATGACAATACTGTTGATCTTAAATGACATAAGCAGAGGTGACATTGGTTTATAAATGGGGTGAAAGTGTTTGTATCAATGCACTCTTACTACGACAAAAGAAAGAGGTCGTGTGATAACGTTGTTCTACGCTCCTGACACTACCAACACAATATTTGTGTCCCTGTTCAAGACTCTGAGCCTTATTTATAACCCCCAATAATACTCCATTTGCCATGTGTTGTAAATAAGAACATAATAATTGTTGGGATGTAACAAGTACGGTTCAGAGTACTTGCTGGAGAAGTTTGTTTTCTTTTAGAATCGGAAGAATGTGGCATTTGGTCTGTAGTAGATCCGGGGTGTCTTGGTGCCCACTGCAAGCGCTGTGCCTTCCAATCATGTACACTGAAAGCAATTTTGTTTCCTTAGATGAGGAACTGCGCTTGGATGAAGTAATGTCGGTACGGCTGTGCATAATTTTTTGGTGCAAGTTTTATGGATCTGTGGAGTGATTAGAGATTGTGGACCTTTGTGGGCTGTTACACACCAAAAAAAAAATGATCATTTTCCCTGAATATTGTGAATATTTTTAATAAGGACACATACCAAGTGAAATGTTTAAATTTGTGTCTTGTGTAGACGTAACTACAGCCAAAGGTGACAATGTGACAACATTTGGTCTACTGGTACCGACCAGGGTTCACATCTGACTACAACAAGCAAATTCAACAGACAAAACTTGGTTTGTTTTATTAAGCAGATGTATTACTATTGACTTGTCATTTGGTGTGGATGGTGCATATTCTCATTTGGCATTTCTATTTGTCTAAGGTTCGGCCTTATTGGGTAACTCGTTTGAAACGAAAGCTGAAAAGGTTTGATTAGATCCTTCATGGGTGATTGGTTTACTCTCAGCTTAACTCATAAGAGGAGACAATATTAACACCATACTGAAGGAATATTCTTAACTGACAACTCGAAAAATATATGAATTTGTTATCCATATTTGCTAAAGGAGCATTTGCTAAAATGTTACTTGAAGCATTTGCTAAAGGAGCATTTGCTTATGTGTTAGCTGAAGAAGCATTTGCTGAATTAGCATTTGCTGAGGTACCCTCAAGAGAGAGGGGCAAAAATTGTTTGCTAAATTGTCAAGAAATCTTGTATTAAACAGACCGTTGAGCAGTGATCTGTACTGGCAATACTTTATTATGGTCAGTTTGGATATTTTATTTCTCTGGAGAAGCTGCGGTGTTATTCTTTTATTATTAATATATCTCGTCGCCAAGAAAGAATGCACAGTGGTCTTGATCAAAGATAATATATCAAATATAGTGTGAATAATTTAGGGGAAAATTGTAGGAATTTTTAGAATTGTTAGGACGGTATTTTAAGATATCATTTCCATATTTGTATGTTAAAGTAACTTGCAAGCATTTGATTTGCCGTCTGCTTACAATAAGAGCAACCCCCCCATTGTTTGGGACTCCAATAAACGCTTTTGTTACTTGGCAGAACAAATGTTAGCAGGAGTTTCTTAGGATGGTTAAAGTCTGGTTATTAATATATAAACACAAATACAATAGTGTCAATATTGTTGGTAATATTATACCATTTTAAACAACGCACAGGAGATATTAATATGGTCCGGTTTGTGTAAAATCTTTCATTCCTGGCAACTTTTCCGTCACTGCTCCAGTTTCTCCCCTTTTAAAAGATGTTGTGAATTAGGTTTAGAATATGTCTTTAATATGTTCCCGTTTTCACAGTAATATCGCAATGCCTATTATATTATTTAATGTTTAATGAGGTGGTTGTTCAGCTTAGTACTCTAGCTCTGACGATCAAGTAGTTTAAGCCCTTGCTCGAGCAAAGACAGTTTCTATGTCTCTCCATTAATACGGGTCAAAACGCACAATATCACACACACACACACGCCACTTTGCGTTTAGTTTAGCTTCTCGTGTTGCGTTCTTGGGAGGAGGAGGAGGAGGAGGAGATGAAAAAGATGATGATGATGATGGTGATGAAGGAGGAGGAGGAGGAGGAGTGCTCTGCTTCATACTGCCCTTCATGTGATGGTTGACCTCCTTCCTGACCACCCTTGAGTTGACCTCTCCGCTGGCCAGACATTTTACCGTGCTCACAGAAACCTAGGCCAGTCCATTGGTAAATAACCCCATTGGGTAATGCGGTTGCATTAGGGCGATGCCCCAAGGGTCGGTTGAGAGGCGGGTCCACCGTAGTCACAACATGGGGCCTCAGTCATTGTCGTTGTCTCGTCACTGGTGCTCATGAGCTGCTCTTTGTACGGAGGCAGAAACTGACTCTTCTCGAGACTAATACGGCTTTGTTTTGAACTAGTTAGGATGAATGCGTTCTATTGCTCTCTCTCTTTAGACAAAATGTTGTGCAGTCAGCATCTGTCAGCCTCAGTCTGTTGGCTTTTGTGACTGGCAGAACCAGTTAATGAGTTACACACATGTGCAACACCCACGTATCTTTATTGACGACTCATTTCATGAATGAGTGAGTGTTTTTTAGTTAGCCTAGAGGCTATGTGTTGAAGGCAGTGCAAGATGAGGCAGTGAATCCGTCAGCCTTGAAGAAAATGGAAGAAATGCCTTAGTAATAAAGAGAGGTGTTGCACATCTGTGCCATTCATCAACTTGTGGTGATTGTGAACCCTAATAAGGGAAACAGATGTGTAGAGGTGCCGTGTGAGGCAGACAGCTGCTGTCTGCGCACAGGACAACTGTGTCACACATTTTGGTGCCAAGTTGTGGCTGCTGCAAAGCTTTATTCTTCATTGAGGTCGTTCTCAATAATTTACCGAACGAAGCGTTTATCGTTATTTTATCCCATTTCACTGTGTTCCGCCAGAAAGTTGGTGTATGTGGTCTAGGCTCTGTCATTCCCCTTGGTTAGTGTCTGTGCTTATGCATGAGTACATGAAGTGTCTTCTATCTTCATTGGACAGTTATGCATAGTTTTCAATATAATTAATCAAAGACGATCTTTAGGGTGGACAGTTCATTGGACATCTACGTATGGAGCATTGAGGGGTAGAGGAGTAGCTCCCGGTGAGAGAAACATGTATAGATGTTGTTGTTGTTGGAGTGATGATAATCATCAAGTTTGCTTTGAAAAATGTATCATTTTTGTAGACTATCTAGTGGTCACAAACATTTCTGTGATTGTACATGCAGTTCCAGGTCAGCAACAGTTTAAATGACATTGTGTGGTCATTGAACTTGTAAGTAACTTTCAGATGCAGGTGTTTTTAACCAGCACACAGAGTAATTAGTACATCACACTAACCAACACGTGACCAAAGATGCGACATAACTTACTACAATCTCCGCAGAATCCGGGAGATTTTTCCACACGGTAAAGTGACCATTACGTACTACTAGAATAAAGGCTACTATTGTGCTACAACACGCTCACACTGCCAGGGCGGGCCTTGGGGACGTGGACGGTTCCTGGACTCCCTCCCCCCCAATACCCCCACCCCCACCCCCAAGCCCCCACCACCCTTTGACACGGGTCACACCCCTGCGTGTCCACTTAATTTGGAAGTAAACGAGGTCAGACATCACTTGCGTGTCTTAATATCCCACCTTATGTCTCTGCTGCCACCAATATGGCTGAATATTCCCATCAGCCAAAGCCAGAGGTAAATATGTCTGGCAGGTTGTGTCTCGTCCTTGGACGACCTTCACCACAACTCTGATGACTACCTCCACCACTGTCACCACCACCGTTGCCACCACCACTGCCACCACCACCGTCATCGACACCACTGTCATCTTAATCGTCACTACCACCATCGCTTCCACCACTGTCACCTCTACCACCATCATTGTTGCTTCCACCACTGTCAACACCACCAGCACATCCACCACTGTCACCACCACTCACCACGACACCAAGGAAGCAACTTTGGTAAGGTAGAAATTTACTATCGATGGTGAGGTAGAAATTTACTATAAATAATTTTATTGGTGAATAAGACACATGTACAACACCTGGGTAACTTTATTGATGAATAAGACACATGTACAACACCTGGGTATCTATATTGATGAATAAGACACATGTACAACACCTGGGTGTCTTTATTGATGAATAAGACACATGTACAACACCTGGGTGTCTTTATTGATGAATAAGACACATGTACAACACCTGGGTATCTTTATTGATGAATAAGACACATGTACAACACCTGGGTATCTTTATTGATGAATAAGACACATGTACAACACCTGGGTATCTTTACTGATGAATAAGACACATGTACAACACCTGGGTATCTTTATTGATGAATAAGACACATGTACAACACCTGGGTATCTTTATTGATGAATAAGACACATGTACAACACCTGGGTAACTTTATTGATGAATAAGACACATGTACAACACCTGGGTATCTTTATTGATGAATAAGACACATGTACAACACCTGGGTATCTTTATTGATGAATAAGACACATGTACAACACCTGGGTATCTTTATTGATGTATAAGACACATGTACAACACCTGGGTGTCTCAAATAATGAATAAGTCATATGTATAGCACTTGGGTGTCTTTATTGATGAATAAGACACATATAAAATACTTTGTGAACAGCATACTTCTCCACTCTTCAAAAACTTGAAGTTACTTAATATACAAAATATACACTCATACTCCTGTTACTACTATATATGTAGAACATATAGTTGGAACACGAACACTCTGCAGTCTTCCTTGATAACTGCAACACAACACACAGACATAACACAAAACACAAATACATGTATCTCTTTGATATCCCCAGTGTCTGACTCAACCTGTGTATAAAGTCTTTGTGCATAACTGGTCCAAAGATCAGTGTACATAACTGGTCCAAAGATCAGTGTACATAACTGGTCCAAAGATCAGTGTGTATAACTGGTCCAAAGATCAGTGTGTATAACTGGTCCAAAGATCAGTGTGTATAACTGGTCCAAAGATCAGTGTGTATAACTGGTCCAAAGATCAGTGTGTATAACTGGTCCAAAGATCAGTGTGTATAACTGGTCCAAAGATCAGTGTGTATAACTGGTCCAAAGATCAGTGTGTATAACTGGTCCAAAGATCAGTGTGTATATAACTGGTCCAAAGATCAGTGTGTATAACTGGTCCAAAGATCAGTGTGTATAACTGGTCCAAAGATCAGTGTGTATAACTGGTCCAAAGATCAGTGTGTATAACTGGTCCAAAGATCAGTGTGTATAACTGGTCCAAAGATCAGTGTTGTATAACTGGTCCAAAGATCAGTGTACATAACTGGTCCAAAGATCAGAGCACATAACTGGTCCAAAGATCAGAGCACATAACTGGTCCAAAGATCAGAGTACATAACTGGTCCAAAGATCAGTGTGCATAACTGGTCCAAAGATCAGTGTGCATAACTGGTCCAAAGATCAGTGTGTATAACTGGTCCAAAGATCAGTGTGTATAACTGGTCCAAAGATCAGTGTACATAACTGGTCCAAAGATCAGAGCACATAACTGGTCCAAAGATCAGAGCACATAACTGGTCCAAAGATCAGAGTACATAACTGGTCCAAAGATCAGTGTGCATAACTGGTCCAAAGATCAGTGTGCATAACTGGTCCAAAGATCAGTGTGTATAACTGGTCCAAAGATCAGTGTGTATAACTAGTCCAAAGATCAGAGCACATAACTGGTCCAAAGATCAGAGCACATAACTGGTCCAAAGATCAGAGCACATAACTGGTCCAAAGATCAGAGTACATAACTGGTCCAAAGATCAGTGTGCATAACTGGTCCAAAGGTCAGTGCACATAACTGGTCCAAAGATCTGGACTTCACTGCCTGAAGTATTGAGAGGTCTCCTGTCTGTCAGTTGATTCAAAGTTGTTAAAAAACACCTCATCTCCCTAATATAATTGAAACAACAATACTTTATGTGAAGTAAAACCAACTCATTTAACTCCATTCCTTTTCTTCCAGTCTTCCATCAACTGTGTCTCTTTTCTTCCAGTCTTCCATCAACTGTGTCCTTGTTCTTCCAGTCTTCCATCAACAGTGTCCTTGTTCTTCCAGTCTTCCGTCAACTGTGTCCCTTTTCTTCCAGTCTTCCAGCAACTGAGTCCCTGTTATTCCAGTCTTCCTCCAACTCTGTCCCTGTTCTCCTTACAGTTTTCCTCCAATTCTCCTCTTCAAGGAGGGGGGAGGGTCCTTGCTGTGGTGAAAAGGCTCTTGGTCTGAGGAACTGCACCTTTTATTCTTCCTAAGACCAAACCTAACTGCCCCCCTATTCCTCCTTTCCCCATCCCATCCTTCCCATCCTAACTCCTCTCCCCATATTACCCTTCTATTTCCTTCGGCAATTTGGGGCTTTTGGGGCTCCCCTCTCTGAAATTATAGCTCCTGGGTCGAAGGAAGACTATCGCTGTCTATCCCATTACGTTGAGGCCCTCGGTGGTGTTGTTTGCCGTGGAATCTGGATCACCTCTGGAGTTCCAGAGGGCGGCTTTAGGTGTCTTTTGAGTTGGTTCTACGAGGTGGCAGCCAAAGGATGGGTGTGTCTTGCAGTGGGATTCTGAATATTCTCTCCTTTGTCTGTCGAGGTGTCTGGTGAATGTGAGGTTGTTATCCTGGACTGCTGGTTTACTGGTGTGAAGAGTATGGTAGAGCACGGGTTCCATGTAGCATCTGTACTATCAGCTGCACCGAGGGTCCTCCTGGGTGTAGAGGAGGATATACAGTCCCTTTCATTTCTCCTGGGAGCTATCCCTCCACACACATCTTTTTAAACAACAACAAAAAAAGAAAAGAATCCTTATCATGGGGTTACATTCCCATGAAATCTCTCCTCCCAGACCCCTTTCTTCCCTAGTGGCAGCCTCCCAAGACCTTGGCACATCCACAAACTCTTTCTTGAACCTCTCAAAGAACCCAGTACCTCTTTGCCCATCTCTGATGTCAGGGTTCACACTGACCCTGTTGATTCATTGGACCTCTGCATGACCTTGACTATGATTTCGGCTTCTTCCTCTATATAGTGTTGATTTTTGGATCGTCTACACATCTCAGGATGGCCAACCTCTGGCCCCCCATCCAAACACCTCTGACCTCTCACAGATGACACTAACCAGGTTACCTCACTCTTTTCAGAAGTGACTGGCTAGACAATTTCTTTCCTTACTCTCTTGTGTCTCAAGGTGCCTCATGGACTAAATTCTTTATTCTCCAACTGATATCTCCCTCAGACTATCTCTCAGACCATAGTATCAGTAAGGTGCTCCTTTGCCATGGTGGACAAAATGGCATATGCGTTGTCATGGTATAAAATGCTCGCAATCTTCCCATTCTTAACACCACTGACGACGCTCCAGTTATGATTCACAAATATTTCCCTCAATTCTTTCTACAGAACTGTTGTACTTCCACATACCATCCTCATGTATGATGCTGACATTATGGAGGAACTCGACTCCAGGATCTCCAGATTATTAAAGTGGACACTTTCATGTTTCCTGCCCCTAGCCAGGTAGTACGTAATATAGCTAAGTTAACGTTTGGCTACCCCGAGCATCCATTTTCTGTGTATATAGTGGGGCAGCACTTACAAGTGTGGTAATTAATCCCTCCTCCATAACAGTGTAGAAATTGCTGACACTTTGGCCACCCAGCAAAATATTGGAGGTCAGTGACAGAGCAGCCTGTCTGTGGTGCTGCTGACCATAACAGTCCTGTAAAGAGGCACACCCTTCTTATTCTCACCATTGCCCTTTTTTTTTTTAAGGAGAAGATCCACTGTCTTAGTAAAGATAAAAAGGGTTTCTCTTATGCCATGGCAGTTTCCCATCTCTGTCTTCATGCGAGACTCCCATGACTTTCTTATTCCAGAGTTACTATACGGCCTCCTCTCAAGGAAGGTTCCTTGATGCTGGTAAGGGGATCTTGATCTGGGGAATTGGATCTGTGCTCCAGTTT